AGAGCGACGACATGCTGTGCTTCCTCCACTGCCCCGAGGAGGAGCTCAGGAAACATCAGAGTGCCAGCCTCCTCGGCACCCTCTGCACCGGCCCCTGCCTTGGCTTGGACAAAACCACCCGCTGGTTCCAGACACTGGTAAAAGCAGCCTGGGAGGCTTTGCCTCAGTGAAGACACTGCCGCCTAACAGTGCTGCCCTCCAGGCACTCCTGCAAGCTGTGGCTGACTAACGCTTCAAACACTACCATCATGCTTGAGATGATGTTTGGGGTGCAGCAAGGTGATTCGGACACATTCCTTAGCACTGAGCAGGCAGAGGCCAGCGTTACCAGCAGCAGGACATGGCCCAGGAGCTGTGCTATGGCAGAAATGCAGTTCTTCAGGCATAGGGCCAGGCCTGAAGACACTCCCTGGGCAGCTGGTGCTGCTGGAGACAGAGAACACGCTGCTCAGCTGGTAGTGGGAATTGCTTTCACACCTTTCCTGCCCAGCGAAAGCACACTCTGGGGAGTGGGACCCGATGCAGCTGAAGGGGCCGTTGCAAGGGACCTTGCAACAGAGACTCCAGTAACACCTGGACAGCAACCGCCCTCCCTCTTTGAGGGAGTCCATTCCCGCCGGGAGCTTTACGTGGTGCAAAGATGTCAGTAAATCACTTGTTTGGAGAATGTCTGTGCATCACTTGGTGGGGGAACGCGGGCACAGGGTGCTGACAGCTCAGCCACCACAGCGTTGGGGAGCATTTTGCAGTGGGCTCTGGTTTCAATGATTCACTGGGATTTGGCTTCCCAGGGGTTGCGGGTCAATGCCTGTAGGCAGCTTGACATCAAACAGCTGCTCAATCACTTTCCCCCAGTGGGAAGGTGGAAAGAATCTGAAGGGTAAAAGCAGGAAAACTTGTGGGTTGAGAGGAGATGGCTTAGAAGGTAAAGCAAAAGCTATGTACCCAGGCAAAGCAAAATACAGAATTCATTCACTACTCCTCTGGTCTGCTGAGCAGACCTGCCCTTTTGGGAAGCATTGTGTCTTGAGGTTCTGGGGCTCGGGCTGAAGGCATTACCAGGACACTTGCTAGCTTTTTACAGCCCTCAGATGATTAGCTGCTCTTGCTTTTTCGTGCAGGTACCAACGCAGTCAGGATGAGGACTCCAAGGGTGGTTAAAAGAGACTTCAGGGCCTCAGGGACATTGGTGAAGGGATCAGGAGCGCAGGTAGTATTCTCCTCTGTCCTCCCAAGTTGTAGGGAACCATATGGAAAGAAACAGGCAGACGCAACTTCTCAATACCTGTCTCCGAGGCTAGCGTCAGTGGCAGAGTTGGGGGTATTTCAATCGCGGGATGTTCTGTGTGACACCAGGCCTGCCGGGCCCTGATGAGACCCACTGTTCTCAATGGGGGAAAAGTATTTTTGCTCACAAGTTAGCAGAGCTGACTGAAAGAGCTTGAATCTGTATTTCAAGGGGGGAAGGGATAAAATCCGGCTTGCTAGTGATAAGCTAAGGGACAGCTTGACAATGTTTGAGGGACGGTGAGCTAGCAAGAGCTTTCACTCTGCTCCATGGTGGCACATTTCAAATGTTTGGACACTAATGAGCGCGGCGTGAGGAACGGACAGGAGGAACTGGATGCCTTGGCTCAGTCCCAGAGCTACGACAACATTGGCATAAGTGAGACTTGTTGGGAAGAGTCCTGTGACTGGACTGCTCTGATGGATGGTGGTAGGCTCTTCCGGAGAGAGAGGCAGAGCAGGCAAGGCGGAGGGGTATTGCTCTATGTAAAGGACAGGTTGGACTGTATAGCGCATGCAGCTGAGGACAACACGGTCAAGAGCCTCTGCGTAGATGTTATGGGAAAAGCTAATAGAGCGGATGTTCTGGCACGAGTCTGCTATGGATCACGCAGGCAGGATGATGACACTGATGTACGATTCTACAAGGAATCAAGGGAAGCCGCTAGATCAGTCACACTATGTCGTCCTTGTGGGCGACGTCAGCTTCCCAGCTCCTAACTGGGACTGTCATACCGAATACACAAACAGGACCAGGAAATTCCTGAAGGCCACACTAAGGATGTCTTTTTGATATGGGTACTAAAGAAGCCTTCTAGGAAAGGTGCCCTCCTAAAGCTCTTGTTTGTGCATGGGGATGGTCTTGTGGGTGAAGGGATGATTGGTGGATGTCTTGCTCATAGTGATCACGAAACGATTGCATTTAAAAACTCTGTTCATATGGGGAAAATTGTCAGCAGAGCTGCTGCCCTGGATTGTCGCAGGGACAATCTGGTGGATCTGGTCACAGGGACCCTGCTCCAGAGGAGAAGATAAGGAGGAAAAGAGGAAAAGGTGGTAGTGGGGCAAGATAGAGAAGAGCAAAAGAGAAAAAAAGGAAGGGAAAAGGGAGGTGGATTGCCAAAAAGAGGAAGACAAGGCAGGAGAATAAAGGGAGAAGAGGAGAGGAGAGGAGAGGAGAGGAGAGG